GGGACTTCCTGGCCCGGTACCGGCTGGTGTCCAACAAGCTGAAGAAGCGGTTTCTGCGGAAGCCCAACGTGGCGGAGGCCGGCGAGCAGTTCGGGCAGCTGGGCCGCGAGCTGCGCGCCCGGGAGTGCCTGCCCTACGCGGCGTGGTGCCAGCTGGCCGTGGCGCGCTGCCAGCAGGCGCTCTTCCACGGGCCCGGGGAGGCGCTGGCGCTCACCGAGGCCGCGCGCCTCTTCCTGCAGCAGGAGTGCGACGAACGGCAGCGCCTGAGCTGCCCGGCCGCCTACGGAGAGCCGCTGCAGGCGGCCGCCAGCGCCCTGGGCGCCGCCGTGCGCCTGCACCTGGAGCTCGGACAGCCGGCCGCCGCCGCCGCCCTGTGTCTGGAGCTGGCCACCGCCCTGCGCGACCTGGGACAGCCGGCCGCCGCCGCGGGCCACTTCCAGCGTGCCGCCCAGCTTCAGCTGCCCCTGCTGCCCCTGGCCGCGCTGCAGGCCCTCGGTGACCCGGCCTCCTGCCAGCTGCTGGCGCGGGACTACCCCGGAGCTCTGGCCCTCTTCATGCACATGCAGCGCCTGGCGCTCCAGCACGGCGGCCACCCCGTGCAGCTGCCCCCGCAGCCACAGATGCCACAGATGCCGCAGCTGCCACCGCTTCCGGGGACCCAGAGCCAGCAAGCACCGCAGCTGCCTCCAGGGCCCCAGTCCGGGTCTGCTGGGGCTCCGGTCCTGATCTCGGCGACCCCTAGTACTGCTTCCGCTGATGCAGCCACCGCCTATGAGGCTGCCGCTGTGGCTACAGCTGTGCCCTCTCCAGCCGCGCCGGGTGCCTTTTCCGACATGCTTGTTCGCTGCGAGGTGTCCCGTGTGCTGCTCCTGCTGTTACTGCAGCCGCCACCCGCCAAGCTCCTGCCCGAGCACGCCCAGACACTGGAGAAGTATTCCTGGGAGGCTTTCGACAGCCACGGGCCGGAGAGTGGAGGCCAGCTCCCCGAGGAGCTCTTTCTGCTACTGCAGTCCTTGGTCATGGCTGCCCAGGAGAAGGACATCGAAGCCATCAAGGCGCTGCAGGTGGAGATGTGGCCTCTGCTGACCGCGGAGCAGAACCACCTCCTTCACCTCGTCCTGCAGGAAACCATCTCGCCCTCGGGACAGGGGGTTTAATCGAGTTAGCCAAATGCGCGTTTGTCATGCTTTTCCTTGTTTGTCTGGTACCGCCCCTTTGCATGTATGGGAGAAATAGAAGATAGCGGCCCTGATTCCCGTTGTTCAGGTTACCAAGTCAGGAATTTCGTTGTGTGAACGTTACAATGATGCGGGAGGGGGGGGGGACCCACAATCAGTGATAGAATGGAAGTGGTGGATATGGCTGTCTTCAAAAAGTGCAGCAATAAAATGAGAATCCTTTAAAAAATAATTAGAACTATATGCCAATATCCCTAACGAACACAGACACAAAAATCCTCAATAAAATCCTGGCAAACAGTGCAACAAATCATCAAGATTATATATCATGACCAAGTAGGATTCGTCCCAGGGATGTAGGGTTGCTTCAACATAAATAAATAAAAGTATTGCACCATATCAGAGCCAAGGACAAAAACCATATGGTCGTTGTATGTTATCCGTTGGTGCGGAAAGAGAAAAGACCCGATGACTATCGCTTCAGAGGTCTCACTGAGATTAGTCCCTGAGCCCAGAGCCACAGAAGCATCTCACATTTATTGAGGACTAAAGGCAGGCTAAAGAATGTGCGAAATTACTTTGGTGAACACAAACTACTATTTACTTCAGGCATTTACCTAACTCTTAAGTTTACCCGCAAAGGAAGCCATTAAAATCCCAAGCAAGGGTAAAACAACAAACGGGCCAACCTGAGACGCTGTTATCTGCAGCCTGGAGGCCCAGCTTGCCAGAATTAAAAGCGAGACAGCTGTTCTCGCCTGGCTCCATGTAGTGCCGCCCGCTCCCTCGGGACATTAAGCTTTTGTCTTCTATCTGTACTTAGAGGTCTTCTCAGTAGATGTAGAACAAGCATTTGACAAAGTCCAACCTCATGATAAAACCCTACAGAAAACTGGAATTAATGGTCTTTATCTCAAGCTGATAAAAGCCATCTATGAAAAACCAACAGTCAACGCAATACAAAATAGACAAAAACTGAAAGCTTTACATCTAGAATCAGGAGCAAGAGAAGGAGGAAAGGAAGAAGTTAATTATTTACAGGTGACGTGATACTATGTACATAGAAAGCCCCCAGAACACTAAAAGGCTTCTAGATTTACTTGGCAAATCCGGTAGTGTAACTGGATACAAAATGAACACTAAAATCAAGAGCATTCCTGTGCACTAGCAACGAACTCAGAGCAATTAGAAAAAACACTGCATAAGGACATCCAGCAAAACTACAGTCCTCTGAAAAAGGCAAGCAGCCAGGTGTAGTGGTGCATTCCTGTAATCCCAGCACTCAGGAGGCTGAGGCAGGAGGATCATTGAGAGTTTGAGGCCCGCCTGGGCTACAAAGTGAGCTGAAAGCCAGCCTGAACTGCATGGTGGAACCCTGTTTGAAAAAGGTAAAAAGAAAAAGGAAATCAAAGAGGATGTCAGGGGCCGGGGAGATGGCTCAGTAGAATAAGTGGTTGCCTGGCAAGCACAAGCGCCTGAGTTCAATCCCTGGTTCCACCAAAAACAAAAATTAAAAAAAAAAAAAAAAAACAAAGAGGATGTCAGAGGGCTGGCGAGATAGTTGAGCTGGCTAAGAGCTTGCTTAGGCAAAACCAGGGACTGGGATTTGATCCCCAGGAGCACAGTGCTGGCCCACCTCCCCACCCCTGGCTTGCTGAGCCAGCCTCCGAGACGGCATGGTGATGCACCCGTGTAATCCCAGCACTGGGGAGACTGAAAACAGGAGGCTCACTGTGAGTCTGAGCTACATAGTAAGACCCTGTACTAAATACATTAAAAAAAAAAGTAGGCACTACTATCAGGTAATGA